CGGTCTGGACATTTGCTGACCGACCAACAGGGTCCCAGTTCAGAGGGCAAACGCATCGACTTCCTCCGACTTCCTCGCTCCACATATATAAATATATATTGTATATATATTCCTGTCCTGCTCGGTTGTGTCCCAAAAGTCGACCCAGACCCAAAAAGGAACCCAAACCCGTTCGACAGGCAGCGGCAACATTTTGATAAGCGCCGCATGGACAGTCGCCTGGGCATCCCCAAACCAAACCGTTCAAGCACCATGAAAACCACCCACTGACCGACCGGCCAACCAAGCAAGGAAATAAAAAAGTAACAGCCTCACCCAGGACACTCATTCACACTCACACTAGCACACACACACTCACACTCACTCGTTCGTCGCCAAAAAGGATATTATTTAATGAGCTACACTTAAAGCATTGGACATGGAGGGTTTCTAAAATTACCGGTGGGATGGGTGTCCAATCCAAAAAGGGGGCTGGCTAAATCGAGTTGACCTGTTTGAGAACGAGAGTGCACTGAAATATATTGGGATTATTTATCAACTATCAAATATCTAATGTAATACATTCCTACGTTAAAGATCCAATTTTCCTTTTAGCTTTTTGTTGCAGTGCAAGTGGATGGCTGTGTATTTGGTAGTTTGGTGCATAGTTTTCGAGTCTCAGCCGCTTGGCTTGCATATTGAATTTAAGGAAGGCTCTGCTCCTGTTTCGAGTCCAGCGCCATGCGATTGTCCAGCCGGGGAGCTTTGGGGTCAGGCGTGTGCGTGATTAAAAATTCAATACCGAAACGAATGTGGAATTGAACGGTAAATTAAATGAGCCAACAGAGAAGGGGATCACAAGACAGGAGAGAGTGGAATCCAAAAAGGATATTTTCGATGCAAGCCAAAATAATTTCAATGAGGCGGAGCAGCAGAACTTCAATCAAAAACTACACAAATGAAATATATATTTTTACTTAATATTATATTTAAATCACCAATCGCTGTGATTCTCTGTGTTAAAAAGTGTTAAAGGTATGTAAAAAGAAATCTCTTAACAGGAATTCTCAAGCGTCTTCATCTGGTGAAAAAGCCAAACGCCAGTGCCTCGAAAGGGTTGAAGCTGGAAGTTGGTAAGGATAAGTGGGCCACGAGGGCTGAGACAGGTTCTTATCGTAATGCCCACCTTGGCAGTGCCATCAGTATCCGGCTTCGGCGAGGAATGTTTACATAAATTCATAAAATTATTGCCATAATCAACATTATGCATTTGGAAACAAACAAAAAACCAGAAACCGCAAAAGAGTTTTCCACCCACAGGGGTTGGAAAACGGCACTCTGTGTTGGGATATACTATATGTACATATATATGCAGCCTCTCGTAATTATGCTCGCTTGATTTGCCAGCAACATTTTCTTTTTAATTATTTATATTTGGGGATTTTTAGGCAGTAGCAGTAGCAGTAGAAGCATCAGCAGTAGGCAGTAGGCAGTAGGCAGTCAGGCAAAACGATTCAAAGGCCTTCCAAGTTTGGCTCTTGCCACGTATGTTTGGTATAGGGATGGTATTTGCATACATCTGACTGCCTGCCTGCCTGCCTGACTGACTGACTGACTGACTGACAATATCTTTTTATGCTTTGGCAGCCAGCAGCCAGCAACAACCCCTCCGAACCACACCGCGCACCATTCATTGGATCGCTTTTTTGGGCATGTGTTTTATTAGGCATGTTAATTAAAAGACATGAAATGAAAATAATTAAAAATATGTATAAAAACCCACACATACGCAACGCACTCCTTCAGATCTGTTTATATGTGCGATGTGTGTGTGTGTACTCTTTATGTACAGCCTTTATAGAGAATATAGTACCAATGGGCACACAAGATACGGCTGTCGAACAGGTTTCATAACTCTTTGGACCATTGAAAGTGCGGAGTTATAATTTGGAGGTGAGTACTTCTCTCACCGAAACTTATGGCAAATTAACATGAAAGCCAAAAGAAGCGTAAGACTATTTTAAAACTCCGTAGTTCATTAATAAAGTCTTCAAATCAATAGAAATGGTATAAAAACCTGTGGTATCTAAATGCTTTTATTAACTGAAAAATGGATTGATTTCTTAAAGAGTTACCAACAAAAAGTTACGGGGGAAGGGGGAGGTAATCCCCAAAAGCCCCATCAATTTGACGGGCCACTCTTCGCCAGATCGCCTTATTAACTCATTGCTGTGGTGTCAATTTACACGACAACGGGCGCCAAACAAAAACAAAGGCTAAAATATGGCAACATTACTTGCCACCGAGCAATCCCCCCCCGGCCACTTTATCGCTCCTTTGTCTCGAATTTCGGAGCGATGGAAAAAAGAGCCCCCCAATCCAGCAATCCCCAATTGCTGGCGACGTCTTAAGTGTTGCTAATAACGCCTACAACTAAAAACAGCTGCGGGGTCAAAAGCAAGAAGGAGGAAGGTTTGGTTGGCTCCCCCCCGAAAAATTGGGTGGGTGGGTGATATGGTTGAGCGACACTTTTAAGAAATTGCAAAGTTTTCGTAACAAAGGCAACTTGAACAATACTTTGATGCGATTTTGCGGATATTAGGTGTTAATTTTTCAAAGAGCCAACGACATTGTACGCCATCTCTGAGCTCCACACCCTTCGGTGTTTTTGAACCTCCACAGCCTACGAAGCCTCCAAACTCCATCCAGCCTCCTTCCATTTATTTTTCGACGTCCTCGTTGCCATTGCCATGGCACTCTGCCTTTTGTAATTTTAACTGCTTTTGGTTAACACTTTTACGCATTGCCAACTGTGGTGGCAGCTCGCCCCCCTCCCCCTCCTCCTGCCCCCCACTCCCCCCGCACTCCATCGATATCACATGGCAGTGTAGCCGAGAAACCCCTTTGTCTTCCTGCCAGCAAGTCATCGATGGGAAAACTTTTCGGCAACTTTTTCTTGGCCCGCTTTTTTGTGTATTTTAATTGGCCCCAAAGGGGGATTGAATGGTAGGTGGTGCCCAAAACAAGCCCTGAGTTACTGTGAAAGTGGAGTGGTTGAAAGTGGTTGGGGCGAGTCATTTATTGAGCATTTTAGCCTTTCATCGATGCTTTCAGCTGAAATTATTTTGCTCATTTTAATTATTATAACCGCCAAGTACAGAGCAGCAACAATAATGGAACAATGCCATTGTGAGTGGGCTGTGGTGCTGTGTGGGCGGATTGGGTGGCTTGGGTGTTGCCCCTTTTCTTCTGCAAGTGCCGCAAAAACACAAATTTTAACGGTTATGCCACGGCGAAAAAGGGTCGGAGCTTCTTTGGCCACTGCTTGTGGTTCTTGTATTTGTTGTTGCTGTTGCTGCTGATTTGGGGGCGAACGTTCAGTGGGCGGGGCCATTTTGCGGTGACGTCCCCAAAGACATCTTACCTCGAACCTCAAACTAAAGATAAAACGGAACTCCCTAAATGTGGCGGAAATGCAGGCAAAGATATGTAAAACTAGCTAGTGAATAAAGTTGACATTTTAGAAGAATAATAATTCGATTTTGGAAATGGCCTTTTCAGCAATTGTCAAACGTAAACTACACACGCTTTTCAGGACTTTTCCGATCTGATGCTCACTCCTCGGGGATCGAAGCGATGTGCATTTGCTTCTACGTAGTAATCGGCCTGATTATCCTGCTCGTGATTGTGGTCGCAGCGCTGAATTTAACCCGCAGATGAGCCGAAATCGAAGAGATGGAGTTCAAGTTCGACTAGTGGAATAAACAATGTTGCTGCCACTTATCCCCATGCCTCACTAATTCACTCTCGGTGGCTCCTCGGTAGCCTTTTCGGTATTAGATAGCCGGCAAGTTTTTGGTGTTTTATTACTGTAAACATTTGCATACAAGACTGCTCTCCACGCTCCTCGCTGGTTACTATAATTAACTGAATATTTATTACTGCGGTAGATAAAATGTTATGCGGCTATTATTTTAGTTTTACGGCCAACCAAGAAGCCAACAAGCCAACAGGCAAAACCGGCTAGGCTAACTGAGCTTAAGCCTCAGACGGAACATGAACATGGCAGGCCAGCCACCAAAGTGGCGTACATGAATATGCAATCCGAGCCAAAATGCAGTCGCTACCCTTTTGCCTTTGCTCAGGTGGACCCCGCCCCTTAATACCTGAACCGCCGCCAGCTCCTCTTGGCTAACTAAATCCAGCCAAGATACAGCTAGCTAAGCCATTGAACACGTAAGGATCGGTGGTTTAGGGTTTATGCGGTGATGAATTAGAGTCGACTAAAAAATGGCTAATAAGTATATCAAATAAAATATCAGTGGGTTATTGATATTCCCAACTTAAGTTTTGATCAGTTATTAAATGCCATTTGAACTGGATTGAGTATTTATTTAATCCCTTCGTAAGTACAACGTTCTTCTGCTAAGAGTTTTTCCAAATTGAACAAGAAATAAAGGCCGTCTTATCGCCAAGTTGGCAACACGATTTTTCGACGCGGGAGGTGAACAATCGCTAATTGTTTTAGGACCTTCGCTCCAGATGCGGAGGCAATAAGGTGTGAAATTCCAGACCGGCTTTCGACTCTTCGCTCGCGGCACAAAACTTTTTAGCCAGCCGAGCGCAAATTACGCATACGCCGCGTTGTCTTCTACGCAGAGCAAATGGCCCCCCAAGTAAACATAACTCATAAGCCACGTAGCAACAGCTGTGGGGTAATTACAATTATTTAATGAAGAGCCCTGTTACGCGAGTTATGAGGGCTTCACTAATAAATAGAGCTCAATCTCGCGCCCATTCAGCAATTGATCTATAATGATTTAATACAGATAGTTTGGAATGTTTGTCTGGCCCAACTCTAATTTCCGTTCGTCAGACACGAAAACAATTTACCCAATTTCACACCACGGCTAAAAACTCAATTCGCATTAATTGCGAGTGGATCGCTGGCTTTCGTGATGACTATTTGACACGCTTGGCCGATCGAATCGGGGAGCTATAAAGCCCACTGGATCGCCGTTGGCCAACAGTCAGCAACTGGACATTCGGAAAGATGCATCTGAACCTCAAATACTTCATTGGCTTTTTGCTGGTGCTGCTCTGCAGCGTTTTTGCGGTGAGTTTGAGCTTAGCTTGGCGATAAATTGGTAAGCTATACTGAATATAATTGCTTCCTTGCAGAGTGCCTATCCTCAGGGTCCGGGATGTGGTCCGCCACCCAGTGGAACGCCTCCTCCTGGACCTCGGCCATCGGGTCCTCCGCCTGGAGGTCGCTGCGGACCACCGCCTTCGACCACAGCCGCGACCACTGGCTAAATCGGTCCTGATTCCCGATTTCCGGATTCCGACTCCAATCCCATTGAGGCTCCCCGACACGTCACATAGGAAAATCCTTTAGCTAAGTCTCCTTTCTTTTTTTTTTTTATGACAATCAATTCAGTATAAATATATGTGTGTATACTTGCTTTATTTCTAATTGTTTTTATCGGTTTGTTAATCTGGAGATTGGTGGAAGATTCTTCAATCTATAGACCCCATTTTAAATAGCTTAACATTTAATTGTTTCCCTTCAGCGAAACCGTTGATCCTCTCAGTTTTTTGCTTTGAGTTAGGTTCACCTCATTCAAACCATCATCTTTGCACTGGTAATAAAAAGCGTAGGCCACAACCCAAAAATAGATGCGTAAAACTATTGGCAATTGAATAACATATATTATCTAATAATTATAGACTTTGGCTTACCAAGACCGCCAATGGACAAGCCAAGATCGATGATATTTGCATGCCAAATCATGACTTCGGCCACCAAAAAACCAGGAAACAAAATAGTGTGCAATAGGCTCGTGGAAAGAAATATCATAACGAGAAAGGAGATTCTCTGCGGGAGTCAACAGATGAATTCAATCGAGTTTTTAAGGCGATTTACGTACCACACAAGAGGCCACGAACAGCATCAGGCAGCCAATGAAGTAAATTATTCCCAATACCCTGTAGACAACTGCTAAAACACCTTCAAAGGAATCACAGCATGGACGTGCATCTCTCAAAGGAACGGCGAGAAGTTCGAAAAGGAACAGAACCAAAGCACTGATCATGCAACCCACTCTTAGGGAAATAAAAAACAAGAACTTCTTCAGGCGGAATTTCATAATTTTAAGTTAACTTTGTCGATTTGATATTTGTGACGAATGAATCACAGATTCTCAGATTGATAATGCTATTTTAGATTTCCATGAACATGTAACGATTTTATTTGCAGTGACTGAAAATGCAATTGCTACTTTAGCAGTGAACATTTTCGTCTACGAAATTCGTTCCAATTTTTCATCTGCATCAATTATTCTCCTCTGCGTCGAAATTATCCCGCTGGAACTTTGGTATTCCCTAGTCAATATGCAACCGACTGATGAGGAATTTCCATCCTCCCATTTTCCGACCCCGCCTGCCCATCTGTTTTGCATATTTTCCGAACTTTTGCTAGTTGCTTGTACAATGAGTAAAAGTAAAATTTCGCAGACTTTCGAGACTGTAAAATATTACACCACCCCCCGCACCGAGGCATCCGCCAGTCGATATTAAAAAAGATAAAGTTTTATTAGTTGTGCGGTGAAAATGGGCGTAGAATGGGCGGCGAGATATAATAAAAGTAATAAAAGAAAATATGCAACGCACACACAAATAGACAACAACACACAGGCAAATGAAGATGCAGATGAAGTTGAAATGTAAATTTCGTCCGAATGGAAAGTTCCGTTTCAATGATTGCAAACGGAAGCGGAAGGTCCCCGATCCCTCGCAAAAATCCCACTCCACCCACCAATCTCCTCTGGGGAATGGATGGCAAATGAAACGCAAGTAAATACGATAAATAAATGTTTAAATAAATAAGTAAATAAATATGTGGACAGTCAGCAACAGGAATCGGGACCAGAAAGGCGCCAAAGGGGGGAGACGGGGGGCCAAAAACTCAAAATGTAATAATTAAATTGCATTTTGCGTCTGCGGCCAAACAAAATGGCGGCCAACGTTCGAATAAGTGAGTGTGTGTGCGGTTGTAAGTGTGTGGAAAGTGGTTTCAACTAGCTTTATACCCTGCTAAATATTTATAAAAATAATTCAAATTCAAGTTTTGCAAGGCTTTTATAATGTTGCAACATAAACATGGAAGTAAATACCTAAACTTAAGGATAGTTAAATATATAGTTAAGATATCCAATCCTTATTTTTATAAAAATATTTTCTTCTTCATATATTTATGTACTCAGATATTTATTTTCATTGGTCATTAAACCCTCAATTTTGTTGTGTAGTGCTCAGTATAAATATTTATATGCCTTGGCCGCAATCATTGGTTCATGTACTCACACACACGCACACTCGTCCATTTACTTTTTTTCAGATTTTTTGTCGGTCCTTATTTCTTCCTCCAGATTGTATTTCTCGTAATTTACAATATTATATCCCCCAGTCGCGCTGATTGTGTGCATCAATTGTTGGTTTCGCGTATGGGAAAAGGCTTAAATTTATTTATCATTCAATTAAATATTTAAAATACCAAAAAATGCTTTCACCGCCATCCAACTTATTTAAATTTCCGCTCCCACACACACCGCACACCTTTAATATTGAAATTGAAATCATAAATAAATGAGAAAATTTGCGCTGGTTGGCAAACGTTCGTTTTTCGCAGGAGGAAAAGTGGGTGAAAATTGTGGAAGGTTTGTTTATTTTCGCCGCGTATGCGTAATGTGTGCAAGTGCGATTCGCATTCGCTGTAAATTTTATTGTTATATGTATATATTTATGCCCACATATGTATGTGTGCCTGTGTGTGTGTGTTGTTTTTTTTCTTCTCCTGTATTTTCGCTGCATCGCTGCAATGTTTGTAAAATTAATTGACATTTTATTTGTTAATTAATTGTTATGGCCATGTGTTGTTATTGTTCGGTTGGCCAGGGCGAGAGTTCACAGCTTTGGACCAGGCCAAAATGGCCAAATGACCAAATGGCCAAATGGCTTTTCATTATTGTTATTACAAATGCCGCGGCCATTATTATTTGCTCGTTAAGCGCACCTCTGCAACTCCCTCTTTGTTCAAATGCAATGCATTTGTAATTTAGTTTTGTAGTTTTAATTGCAAAAATAGTTAATTTTCTGATAATTTATTTATGCATTTATTTGTATTTCGCGGTGGAATGCATTTTGAGCAAATTGGAAGAGTTTTCCCGAGTTCAAAATAACCGATAATATAAACAAGGAAAACAAACCACAGTGGTGTATTTTTAAAACCTCTCTTCTAATCTTCTAGGAAATATAAAAGGAGATTTTTGGGAATTTTAAACCTGTTGGACGATTCATATATGAAACCTTTTTTATGTATTAATTTCAATAAAGATAGATTATGTTTTATAACTTGGTCATAGAGAAATATAGGCACAAAGGAGAACTGGGGAGAAGGAAAAAATATCCTAGGCAAAAATCCCGGACAGCGAGAGCCATCAATTTTTACAACTTTAAATACCAGCAGGAAGTAACTTAGGAATTCAGGATCAGCTCCCCTAGAGCAACATTTCGAATGGCAATAAGAAAAAAGTCATAACAAAATTTTACGACAACTTTGGCGGCGTATTCATTTCGCTGTTGGTCCGCCGAAAAATGGGAGGTGGATTTCGGAATGGAGATGGAGCCGGAGCTGGGTTCTTTGGAGATACTCGTACAAGGTTCGGGATTCGGATGGATGGACTGATGCAAAATGCAAAACAAAGGGAAAATTACCGAGACACCAGACGAGCGAGAAGAAGAAGAAGAAGGAGCAGCAGCGTATTCTAATGGCTGCCATCCCGCTGGCTTTCGCCTTTCATTCAGTTTGGGGGGGTGTGGGGCATATAATAATCATCTATATTCATGGATTAGGATTCAATTTTTATGCCACACGCGAGAAGGTGAAAAGGAAAAACCTGCGAGAGAACAATGAGGGTTAAATTGAAAATAAAGCGTTAGCCAAAGAGAAAGAAGACACAGAGATACCGAAGGAAACGCGATGGAGGAGCAGGAGTGGAAAAAATTATTCAAAAATTTATGCAAGAAAATATTACCAAAGAGCTAATAATTTTCTCCATCCATCTGTTCTGGAAAAGGTGGCAAAAGCGCCGCGTGGGGGCCACCATTGGGTGGTTGGGTCTCTGGGTGGACTGGGTGTGTTTTTCCTTACCCCGGGTTTTGTATTAATGAATAATATCGCGGCTAAGGCGAAGGCGAAACGCGTTCTTCGTTTCCTCGTTGTTTTTTTTTTTTTTTGGTTTTTTGTGGCACGCCACAGGGGTTAATAAGTAATCTGCATTTTTTGACATTTATTTATGTCTTCAAATATGTGCGAGCAGTCGCTGCGTCTCTTTTTATCACGGGGCCAAAGAGCAAGGGAAATCTAACAGCTGTTCAAAGTGTCATTAGAGCGAAATATGCCCGCGATGTGGCCCCATCTTTAATTTTCATCTCCCTGGAAAATGGGAATTGTGTGCCCAGATATACGCATATTTATCGCTGGCCCTCTTCAATCTGAATTGTTTTCATTTGATTAGTTGGGAATATAGGACGCTATGGCATTACAAAGAAGGTTGTTAAAAACAGTGGATGCTTCGCACAAAAGTTTACAAAAGGTATTTTACTATATAAGTAAATTTATTTAGTTTAGTAATTTCTGGTTAGGTTTGTATTATAGTTTGAATAGTGGGCGTGACATCGGGCTTAAGCTACGTGCCTACACAAATCTATATTTACGATTATGGAGGTTTGTGGCTGTGGCTCCTTCGACGTTTTAGTGTCATTCAGCGCTGGGCTGTAAAGCCCGTATAAAAATGGTGGGTGGAGCAGTCCTAATGACAAATGCCTATATGGAATGGTCACACACGCAAGGACCTTCCCCTTCCGCTCGTTTTGCTTTCGCCGCTCGGGTGAAAGTGAAATTGTCATAAAAAGTGAAAGGCGACTGGGGAACTTGAGCGGGGGGCGGGGCAACGAGAGGTTTCGGGGGTTCTTTGGGTGGTTTTCACATGTCAAGGTAATTTGGGCGCACTTTTTGCACTCGCCTCGTTTTATGGGCGAATTCAAATAGTTCTTTGGACCACGCCCACACGCACACACATATGTAATTACTTAGTTTATTATATTGCAAGTATCCAAGTGGACCTACCAGCCAACTACGCCACTGTGAGCCCCCCTTTTTTCGCTACCCCTCCCCGCTCGAAGGGTCCTTTCCTCTTTTATAGTTTGGCAAATCGTAAAAACTTTTACAACATTTACATGCAAGGCGAAATTTAAGGGGGGCGGCAGGGTTGCCCTATGTGCCAGAGTTGTCGCCGCAAAAGTTTGCACTACAGTTGCGCTCTCTCTATTTGTCTTTTGCCTACAGTTTGTAGCACTACCACCATTCGACATTCTACATTTTCCCAGCAATTTTCCGCCCACTTTTTCACAGACGATGCTTTTTCAATTACTCAGGTCTGGCCTCCCTGGAAAACCCGCCCCCTTCAGCCAATTGAGTCGCCACTTAAGTCGCCTGACCAAAAAATCATTAACTATTTTAATTTCAGTTTGCAAATTCCATGCAATTTAAATGCAGAATGGCAGGGGCGTGGCTTTCGCCCCCCTTATTCCTTGGCTGTATGTGTGTGCTGTGTGTGTGTTCGCTTTGGCCAAAATGCTAAGCAAATACAATTAAAGCGTCTAAGAAAAAAGCCAATAATTAAAAATGCACAAAAACAAAAGTGAACACTGCCCTTCAAAAAAGGAGAACCAAGATGTTTGGCCAAAGCAAAGTAAAAATGGTCGAAGAGGTTTGGGGAAAGGGAAATTGAAAGCAGTCAACTGGATTGGCGGAGCGTTCAAAGTAAACTCATTTGTTGGCTTAGCTGGTAAAGTTCGAAGGATTCTAGAAAGCACTCCGAAAACTTTAAATGCAAATCCAATTCATATTTTTAAAGATTGTATTGGTATCATCTTTAATCGATGTCCCAAGAAAATTATATTATAGCAAACATCTAGAAACATTTTCTAGGAACATTTTCCAAGCCAATTAAAAAATTTTCCAAGATGAGTTTCCCCTCCTTCTGCATTAAAAATGTGGTATCCCTTTGAAATTTTCCACAATTCTTCCACCTCTTTATTCCGGCTAATCTAATCGAAGGCGGGCATCGACGACTTTCCGTCGAGTTGGCCCAAAAAAC